CTGATGCAACCTAATTAAGTATGCTGTGTGGTTATATCCATGCTACTGAACCCCCCCCATGCTGGGAATAAAGTATGTCTATGCACCTTAATGAATTGGGGCTTCCTTGAACAAACAAGATGTGCCCAAGACTTAACAGAGTAACATTTTTTTAGCTCTTCCCAAACTTTCTTCCTGCTTTGCTTTATTAACTTATTTTCAAATCTGAACAGGTGTTGGCCAATTCCTTCAGAGAGAGCCTGTTTCTGCACAGGTTTCTGATAAACACGCACATTTGACTGCTAGAAATAACTTTGGTTTTGTTTTACAGTGTGTAAATCCGTTATTTTGCAGAATTCTTTTAATCTTCATCCTGATAAAGGAGGACTATGAGAATAGTTAAATTAGAAAAGCAAACTACATTGATCAAGACTGCTGCTTTGCAAAATCTGTTACTACCTTCAAACTGTTTGTTTGCCTGAATTTTGGTTTTCTCATTCTCTTTCCCGGTGGAAAAACTGCATTTGTGACAGGAGTTTTCATGAAACTCCTCTGAAAAGTGAAGTGTGTGGCCCAATATAATTACACTTGCATGGTGTTTGCTACAGTTTGAAGTCGTAGCTGAGGTGTATTCTGAGAGCAGCACCAGGAATATCACACTGATTCTGTTATGAACAGAGGTGCCAGATGAGGGATGCTCACTGGCCACTCTAGGGTTAAATTCATTTTTCTTGATCTCATCTCCTATTCCCCCCGCCCCCAAAGTTATCCAAGCAATGGGGAATTTCTGCAATTGTTAATTGTATTTATACTTTGGCTATGTCACACTCAAAGCTCCTTAAAACTGTTTGGTTTTTTTTTTTTTTAGATCTTCTGACAAATATATCAGGCAGAAATCTCTGCTGTGGTCATCACCTCTGTTTTCAGAGGCTGCACACTGGTTACTTCTTATCAGTGTTGAAATGCTCATAATTCATCTCCAAATTAGCTGCCTAGTATAATATTCTGGCTTGAGCATGCCTGAGGTCTTTCTAACACTTGATTTTGGGCTTTTAGGGGATTTCACGCTCGGGCATTATAAATTACACTGTATGGTCTTTTTCTGCAGTAAGTGGGGCCTAGGGCAAGTAAGGAGAGAGGAACTGAAAACGAAAGCTCTGAGGGAGGAAGGAACCAGATTTTGGAGAATGGTGCTTAGGCCTGCTGCAGTGCTCGCGGGTGCCTGCTCTGCCAAGTCCACCACAGCAGAAATGGAAGTACTGGGATGTGTGTGCTGGGGTGGGGTGGTGCCGTTTTCATCCTCAGCACACCTTGGGACTTGCTGCAATCTCTGGGGCAAGCATGGGATCACCTTGGATGGGAAATGGGGAACAGCAGGCTACAGTGGCATGAGAGTGGGTTACCCTCAGAGCATGTGACATCTCTGCCCTTGGAGATTTTCAAGGCTATGGCTATGATCGTTTCATCAAACATGACCTCATCTCGTGGTGGTTGTGGTCGTGCTCTGAGTGGGAGATTGGACTGAGCGACCTCCATAGCTCCCTTCCAGCCATTGCTTCTGTGGTTCTCAGTGCTTGAAGATCTGTTACACCAGGTTTTGTAATTCTACCCTTTGGCATTAATTGCTTTCCTGGCTCTTTGCTTTGCTTAGTCTGCACATCATTTTGGGGGGTATCAATACCACGATGACCTTATATTCTTCAAGCTGCTTTTCTTATCTGTATGCCTCCTGCATGCAAAACCTCTAAAGGCAGCACAGATGCCCAGGCACCTAATAACAGCAAGAGGTTCCTCTTTCTTGTTCCGTGTCGCTGGATCCGCATCTGAGACCTCTTTGCTCATGATGAAAGCGGGAAGAAGAGGCTGGTGGCTTCCTGCATGTAAAGAGTCATCTTTGTGGGCCGCACAGTGCACAGAAACAGAGCTGTAAGTGGAGGGAATGCCATGCATATGGAATCCATGCTGCTCCCCGTGCCCCCAAGGCCGTGCTAGATCAACCGAAGCAGCATGTGCTTTCTGAAAACCAGCTCCAAGCTTCTATTGCCAAGGCCTGGCTCAGCTTCTACAAAGGTAAGGTACCGTGTTAAGGCAGCGTGTGTCTTCTGACCTTGAATCCTAACACAGAGGCAAGAAGGGCTGCCGTGCTGTCCTCACCTGCACTTCTCTCCTGTAGCTTTGCCAGCACGTGTTTTAAACAGCTTTGGAGATTTCAATAAAGAAGCTTCTGTTCCTTGCCACCGGTTGAAGAAATAAAAATATTTTTACAAGTTAGGATAGCAGTCCAAGTTTTACTGCTTGCTGCCGAGCAGAGCAGGTAGGGTTATGTCTGGCCCTCGAAGACGAGCAGAGTGTTTTACTGCTTGCTGCCGAGCAGAGCAGGTAGGGTTATGTCTGGCCCTCGAAGACCTGCTGTAGATTATTTTTATATTCTGTCACCATGTAGCATTTCTGGCTTCTCCATGCTCTTGAGTCTTACTAAGACACTTACTGGCCCTTTTAGTAGAATGTATTTTGTTGCTTGTTTTGAAAAAGACTCAAAGGCAACTTTCTGTAGGGGTTTTGCTGTTGCCAGATGAATTGAACATTTTTCAATAAAGTATGTCAACTGCAAATGTCTGTAGGTTGGTTACTGAAAGTGAAATTTGAGTATATTTGAAAATCTAGCAGAAAGAATAAATAAAACCTCCTGTCCCAGTGTTCAGAGGACCATGGCAAATCAGCAGACAATAATTTGAGTTTTGTTTGATGGCTTTGTGTGTGTTAATGTGTACATCTGATTTAAATCCAAGTAGTTTCTCAGGAGTCCAAGTGCTGTGCAGTTGACGTTTAGTTATTGATGGTATTCACCTTACAAGCTCTCTGTGAATCCAGAGTCTGTATCATGAGCATGATAATGTAAACCAAGCTTTCAGTGAAGTGTCATTCCAGTCTGAAAGGTTAGATAAAGATTAGTTAACATTTTGTTAAATCACTGTTTGTGCAGAAAAATATCTGAGATATAAACGTGATCAAACTCATGCTTCAGAACTTTTGAGTTTTATTAATATATCAGCATGTGCCTCTAAGAAAAATGTTAGAAATACTCATTGTTTCCATTTGACCTGCCACCTTAAAACTCGTTTTAAAAGAGAGTTGGATTTGGGGGGGCTTTTTTTTTTTTTTTTTTTTTAAGATGTTGGTAGATCTGCCCAAGTCTTTTTTCTCCTTTTTGCATCTAACAGCCTTGAGGTCAGAGCTGTTTAGAGACTGTGCCCATGGTCACTCTTGCTGGTTTCTGTTTAGAGAAAACAATTTGTAAACAGTTGGACGGTTTGTTTTTCTAATGTGGTCGATGTGTGAGATTTGATCCACTGTTGGGACATGAGGGTAGGTTTTACCCTGTTGAAGCTCAGATCTGCTTCCAAGGATGACCAGCATTGCTCTGTGGTTAACGTCAAACTCCAAAGGATGCTATTTAGGCAAGGGGAGATATGCGGAAAATGCATAGGGAAATGCAGAGGGAAATGGACTTGGGGAGGGGGGTGAAAAAAAACCCCTTTGAAATGAAGAGGAGGAAGAGATGAGGGTTTGTGTGAATGGTGGTGCTAGCAGTGCCAGCAGTTCAGTGCTGCTACCTTGGCAGGTTGTTTTTTTTTTTTCCCCTTCTTGTTTCTGACCCAAGGAAGATTTTAAAGGATGGTGCCATCAAATGGTTTCTCTGTGTAAGGCTTTGTAAGGAGAAAGCTGGAAATGAGCAATGCAGCTTGGCAGGTGTTTTGCTGTGCTCCCCAGCAAAGCTGTAAGCAGGGATATAGAGCTTGGTAACTCGGACATCCTGGTGCTTGGGGGTGGGAGGGGAGGGTGGATGGAAATCCAGGCAGAGCGGCAGACACAGGAATGGGAAAAAAATAGCATTAATGAACTTAGATGTTATATGTTTTTGTATGGTTAGGAGTCCATGATTTTAGACATAGTGTATCCTTGTACCATTTAATATTTATGCACATTTTTGCTAGTAGACTGTCTACTGTATTAAACACAAAACCTGTTCTTGTGGACCTGGGGGACCAGGGCAAGCTTTGTGTGGTGGAGATGGCTGCAGTTACCCTGGGCACACCGAAATGGAGGGAAGATGTTCAGGAGAGCTGGGCGGTGTTTCCCTGTTTGTTTTTTACTGCTGCCATCTGGGCAGTGTAAGAGTGGTGTGATGGGGGGGCTTGTTTTGTGCTAATTGCCAAACCTGGAGCTCTGTGGTGTCAAGAAAAGGAGGGGGAGGTATTGGGAGGCAAGCAAGGGGGATGCTGAGGTACCAGGGTAAGGAGGGGAGGATGCAAGGCTGGTGTGGTGAGGCACTGGAAAAGGTTGCCCAGAGAAGCTGTGGCTGTCTCATCCCTGGAGGTGTTCAAGGCCAGGCTGGATGGGGCTTTGAGCAACCTGGTCTGGTGGGAGGTGTCCCTGCCCATGGCAGGGGGGTTGGAACTTGATGGTCTTTAAGGTCCCTTCCAACGCAAACCGTTCTATGATTCTTCTATGATTCTTCTATGATTCTTCTATGATTCTTCTATGATTCTTCTATGATTCTTCTATGATTCTTCTATGATTCTTCTATGATTCTTCTATGATTCTTCTATGATTCTTCTATGATTCTTCTATGATTCTTCTATGATTCTTCTATGATTCTTCTATGATTCTTCTATTGAAGCGCTAAGTGTTTAGAAGTACCATCTCAAGGACATTTATTATTGAACAGCTGAGGTGTTGGAGCCAAGGAGGGGGCTTCGAGGCACCGGGCGTGGAGGTCTGGGTTGTTCTCCTATAACCAGGGCGCGACGTCGTGGCTGCCGTTGTCAGAGGCGGGTAGAGGCACGGCGTGGGCTCCCCTCCCGGTTCCTGGAGGAAGGAAAGGGGGTGGGAGAAAGGACGCCCACGGACACGCGGGATAACGATGTAGGGAGGGGGGGCTTTGTCTGCCCCAACACCGTCCGTCCCCGCGTCTCTGTGTGTGTGTGTGTGTGTGTGTGTGTGT